AAAAAAAAAAAAGAAAAAAAGAAAAAAAAAGTCTGGATAAAAGCAAGTGGGGATAAGCCAGATGTGTGTAAGCAAGGATCAAGACACCTCCTGTCTTGGTGAGTTCAGACTGAGATTACCATGAGGAACTGCTGTTAGAACTCACATGCAAACTGTGCTGTAAGTGCATGCTCATGACTGTGTTTAGAATAGCTAAGTAGCTGAAATACAGTAGCTTTCCAAGCACAGAAACAGCACGATAACCTAAGATTGCCTGCTGATACTCAGAATTTTGAATTCTTGTATGAGGTTACCCTCTCACAACCTATAATTATATTATAGCACTTCATCTTCACAGTCATTTTCTTCCTCAAACAGCCGATAAACCCTCAACCCCCAGGCCCAAACCTCCTAACTTCTTGTGCAGCTCTTTTCCTGCAACTGTTCTCACTGCTGATCTCCAAAGCCTTTTCAGTTCTACAGAACATTTTCTGATTTTGCTTTTGTTTTTCAGGGGCGATGATTCATGCCATGTGTGACACAAGGGCACTGAATGATAACATTACACAAGTGCCACACTTCAGCCGTCCCACTGAATTCTATAGGACTTTCTGTCTATTGGATCACTGGTAAGTCAGGCTCCATACACTGAAAGCATTCATGTTTCACAGAGATGTAGGAAATGCTTGGGCTGTGCTTAAGGAAACAGGAATTTTAACATTTATTTCAACTTCTTCCAAAGTTCATCTCACATTTCTGTGGCCATTTGTGTAATCAATTTGTTAGTGCTCGCTAGAAATTAGAAAAAAGGGATCTGATTTTTCTTCTATATTTCCTGTAATTACTTCTATTTAACAGAGGTGGAATCGATTCTGCAAACCCTAGCAGATTTTTTTATAAGCAAAAATGTGAAATGATATCCAAGAAGAGAATTATAATTGAAGTCCTGTAGGAAAATTACCTCCCTGTTTTGTGTTTAGGACATGTAAAAATTACTTTGGCATTTCCTTTTGCCAGCAGAGGAGTCCATTAAATACAGTGAATCTCTTTGCTCTTGTCGGGAAGACAGTAATAGAGAAGATGACCCTTACTAAAGGTAAGATACAATTTAAGTAATTTTACATTTTTTTACAATGTTTGCATGCAAAAAAACGATTTCTTCATGTGAGCTTATTTTTCTTTTTTTGACTTACTTTGAGAAGGATTTTCACCAGTGGTTATAATGACCTTCAAAACATAAATTATATGGCTAAGAGATCAGATGTGATGGGAACTGCCTTTTCTGTTTGTTTTTTTCTTTCCAAATAACTGCTTGTTTTCAAGTGATCATCACAGCACAGCCTAGGTGAACTTGTGTTGCTGTAAACCCTGAAAGTAATACAGCAGTGGACTGCTTACCTTGGTGATATTTTTAGTGTTGGTGTCATTCAGGCGTTCAGATGGATAATGCTACATACTAAAGCACCCATGCGCTTTTACTTTGAGTCATTAGGATAGACTCTGGAAAATACAAAGCAAATGCTGAACAGTTGCACTCTGTCATGAGTCAATTTTAGTTTTCAGCATTAAACTTTAGAGGGAAATTTTCTTTTGATTTCATCTGGTTTTTGAAAGTGTGTTTATTGTATGCATAGCACAGTTAAACATCCTTTGAAACAGAAGAGTTGATGTTCCTTTGAGAGAATGAATGTTCATAAGGACTTTCTTTTATCGTCATCCGTTGCTCTGAAAAGCCATTTCTTACAACATCCATAACTGCTTGGGTAGAGAGAGAAGATGCTCTCCAAATTATTTGCAGGTGCATTTTTCTAAAGCTTTGGGAAGTCATTGGATTCATTAATGTGGCACATTCCAAACTTCCTTGCAAATTTCTTGCAGAACCTTGTCATTTATTATTTGTACGCGTGTATACGTATTTTTATGACTGTTAAAAATTACTATAATGAAGGAAAGAGATTTAGAGATCTAGGCTTATAATTTCACTGAATTATTGAATGTTTGGTTAATACTTTATTTAAAAGAAAAAAGCTTTTCAACCCTATAGAGTGAATGTTGATGAATAGCATATTCTCAGAAACAAAGAATAGCTTGTAAGCAACAGAAATCAAGCATGTATATGCTGTAGCAATCACACAGCATTTCTGATTTGTTGATCGCTGTTCAACCACCAGGTTTGATAACAGCAGCAAAGAATTACACTAGGAGGTTTGCCAAGGTCTGAAATACTAAGATGTGTGTCAGGAAAACTTCTTGTGTAAATCCCCTACTACTCCTTTTTTAAATAGAATTTTCCTGAAAAGAAAAAAAAGAAGAAAGAAAAAAAGTACATGCTTCTTAAAATGTTAACTTCCTCTAAAAGATTTCCTCCAGTTCAGGAACCTGGCATGCAGCAAACCACTTCTAAATCAAGCTGCAAGCCGGTACTGTAGAAAAACAAAGAGTTTATTGGTACCAGACATTTGTAAATAAGTAATTGACACTCCTGCTATAACAATGAGCAATTCCAAAAAAAACAGGGAGCTGCCAGGATAAACAAGTTTGCAATGAGATCCATCCAGTGCTGGATATCCATCCGGGTCAATCCCATCAGTGGTGGTCACAATAACAGCTCTGGGACCAGCTGGAGTTCTGCAGCGCAGCCGTCTCCTGCTTTTGTCTGCTCTTCCATTCAGATCCCTAGCCACGGGCAGGCTGCTAGCTGTGGCAGTGGTGTCTGCACAACGTTCTGAGGGCTGGTGACACATCCAAAGCCTTGTGAATAACATCAAACTGTAGGCACTCTTTGGTAGCCGTGAACATGTTAAAAATAGCATTAGAAAATAGGGCATCTGAGCAAAAAGGTTCTGTTCAATGCATAGCAAAACATTAATTTAAATGGGAGAGTACAGACCTTCTGAATTAACTCTTTCTGTCACTGTTGTTTCCTGCAGCTTCAGGTAGATGCTGTGCATCAGACTGGTGAGCAAGGTAAGAAAGCATAACAACTTTTCTTTCTTAGTTTGATCTTAAAACAGACTTAATGACAGCTCTGAATTGAGTGAAACTCTGCCAATGCAAAAAAAAAAAAAAAAAAAAAAAAAAGTCCCAACCAACTAAAAGAACTTGCATCTTTGTCATGGATTCAATATGAGGTTAGTTTGTGCATTTATTTTACTTTCCCCAGTGTGGATGGTTATTTTCAGAACGGCTTACCATTTTTTTAAAAATTGTTTTTAATGAAGTCTTACTGTCTATAAAACTCTCTTAAAGTGAATGATTTTTGATAGCCTTAGCTTAGAATACCTGTGTTTCTGCTGGATTTCAAGTTCAGGATGCCATTTTTTTAAGTAAGTGACTTTCCTAGAAAGAAAGGGAACAAGAAGGGATGACAAAAAATTTTCTTTGATTGAATTTAACTTTTTGATTGGGGTGAGGATGCAGGTTTGTGAAATTAAGAAGAACAGGCAGGCAGGTTCTTGACTAGAAAAAGTTGAGGAATGTCTTTTCCTCATCCTCTTGTTCTCCTGTTCAAGAAGGTTTATGTGTCTTGTTTTTCTTTACTGTTTTTTTAAATTAAGACATAGAGCAGAGAGGTCAGAAAACAGAAGATGTGATGAATTCCAGTGAAATGTGTTTTAGCGTCAGATGCTGGGTGTACACTGTTGAAAATAAGTACATGAATCTATTTTAATAACTGCTTTAATTAAAAAAAAAGTTTTAAATTATAAATACTATGGATTGCAAACAACATAAGACAAAGCAAATTGTACAGTAACAGAGATGCGCCCACATATATATTGTATATCAAATATGCGCCGCTATGGAGTAGAAATCCATTGTTTTTGGAAAGTCAGTGAGTATTTCCAAATAGATGTTGCATTGCTGAGGCTATTCTAGGCTAATAGGAAGAGTATTTGAATTGTTCAGCAGCAATCTCTTCAGTACTTGTGTCATGACAGCAGATTTCTAAAATGTTACTAAGCCAAAGCCGTTCTTAATTCCTTTGATGAGTGCAACAGGGAGTGAGAGCAATTATCTCTAAATTTAGCTGTTCTTTTATTCTTAAACTGATGTATGTTTCCCCAAAACGTTAACAGAGTAGCTTCTAAACACTCAACATTCAGCCTTGCGAAACTGCTTGCATGCCATTCAGTTCAGCTATGTTGCTCAGTATTTGTGGTGTGCAATGAGCCGCCTGTGCCTATTGTTTTTGTTCCCAGATTAAATCTCTGAAGGCTTTGGCTGTCTTAATCTCCATTGAAGTCACTGGGATCTGAAGACACTCACAACTTTCTTAGTACGGTGCTGTTTGCTGTAAGTGTTAATATGGTCAAAGGAAGACTACCCACCAAAGACTGTAAGCAACAGTAGCAAAACCTTATTATTTTTTACAAACACTAATGCTACCTGGGGACCATTTCATTCTCCAAATGTACATCTGTTTGAGCAAAGGATTCCCAGAAACAAGTAACAAGAATATTGAGACCATTGCTCAATAACCACAGCTTTTATTTGGCAATAGTTATTGAGACCTGGAAGGGTTTTCCTGGGCTCAAAACTTGGCTGTTTCTTGTAGCGATGTTTCCAGTTGGGTTGTATGGATTATTTCATGTTATTAGAGCTGAATACTACTTCTCTACCATTTCAGATTTGCTAGTGCTTTTATCTTGCCGCAATATATTTGTATGCTGTAACGTACAGCAAAATGCCATTGTAATTTTAATGTCGGGCGTACCCACTGTGAGTCTCAGATTTGTATTGCTCTGGGGAATGTGTCTGAGCTCTTTCCTTTTTAAGCCCAGTTGAAGGAGTGCATCCAGATGCATTACTTTCAAATCTTATACTCAAATGTTTAGGTGGAAATGAAGTGTGATCATTGTAACCTGGCCTTTATGTGTTTGACCGCAATTCAGCCTACGTGGTGCCATGAGACAAGGGTGAGCGGATGCTCTTACTTCTACAGCCAAAGCACACACATCCTTCCAGACAGAAAGAACTCATCTTCTGAAGCAGCAGGTAAATGAAAGAATATGGGTAAAAGATTTGTGGAGAAATGGGAAAGGACATTTAATATATTTAATCTTATTATACATTTTTCTACATTAAAAGTCAACAGGCTGCAAATATACTTTGCTACAAAGCTTTTTGTAAGAAATATCTCTATAAGAAAATACATCTCATTAAACATTTCCTGTAAATAAATTATCACACATAACTGTGTTTTGTAAGAGGAAAAGGGAGAGGGTCAAGCTAATGATAAAAGCTCAAAATTGCTGAGCCTATTTCTGCGACCCCACAGCTCCATTTGGATTACACTTTCTTGTACACATAATTGCAATGAAGGCAACAGATCTCCTCTGCTGAGCATGTGCTGTCAGTGTAAATAACACAGATTTGGTTCCTGCGCTTTTTCAATATCTTGAAATTATGCTATTTCTGAACCTTATTCCTGTTTTAGGTACAAGAACTCCTTTGAAATAACCAAAGCGGAGCTGATAGGACTGTGAGACTGAAGTCTAACTGAGACTGTTAAAAAACCCCAGAACCCCTTACGGCAATTAAAAAATAACTCCAGTAAGGTAAGAGACTTATGAATTACTCTTAATTTTCTTTCCTTTCTCTTTTTTTAGACTCTTAAGTCTAAAGGCAATGTATTCTTATTAGGAAATCTAAGCCTCAGTGGGCGCATAAGGTGTAACTTCAAAACAACCACTGGTAGAGATGTATCAGTGGAAAAAGTGTTTTAGGTACAGGATGACATGGTCTCAAAACTACGTATTGGTGTATATATGTTCAGAACTGATGAAACAGAAAAGTCTTGTGTGTTACAAAATGTGAAACTAAGTAAATTACAAATGGGTAATTACAGATTAGCAGTAGGTCAGTTATAGAACCAGACTTCTTAAAAGAAATATCAGACTCTTTATCAACATCTATACACAAGAATTACTTGTGAACAAGTAAAATGGACAAAAGTTTAAAAAGAACTGTGAGGAAAAAAAGGATAGTCTCCATCCTTCAACTTCTAACTGCTACACAAACAACACAGAGTTGTTTCCATAGTCCAGGTACTTCCAGAATTCCTGACAGAAAAATCCAGAGAAGATCCCTTTAGAAGAGATCGAGTTCATGTTAGATACATGCCAGAAACTGGTATGCTGCATCATCACATGATGCATAATAAGTCTTCTGTGGCTCTACCATATTTTCTTGCATTGTTTTCTGCAGGAGAGGAAGTGCCAACTTTTTCTTTGCTACCGCTAAAAAAGAAATCCATTTGCAGAATGCAATCAGATTTAGCATTAATAGCAAACTGTAGCCCATTGCTACTATTGAAAAGTAAAACTTTGAGTTTATAGCAGTACAATCTAAATTCCCCAACAAGTGCCTACATCTTCTGGCACAATTTCATGTCTCTTAGTGTTGAATTTCTAGCACTAAGATATTACTTAGATATTCAACACTCCACTATCTCTTTGGAAATGTCTATAATGCAAGTACGTTTAGGAAAAGAAAGAATATTTAGGTCTAATGAGCAACTGCCTGTATATAATTCTGGATTCAGCATGCATGTATTTGTTCCATCTGTTCAATCCAATGTACACTAGCAGTAAACCGAGACAAATACAAGCGATTAAGTGCCCTACTATGACATTGAACTACATAAAGCATTTCAGTTCGCCTAAATATAGAAAGAAAACCCTGTTTAAATGACTCTGATTAGAGAAACTGCTTGCTGTCTTGAAATGATGAGGTGGCAAGTTCTCACCTTTTTGTGAGGGCCTACAAAATTCAGGACTCTCGTAGCAGTCCTGCAAGCATGCTTTCTTTGCTGAAGCGTCAGCCCTGCATGACAAGTGTATGGAGATTCACAGTAACTGTATTTCCATCCCTCGCACCTGCAATGTATAATATTTTAGTCACTGATAATGTGTTGACAGACAAGTCTTCCTGGAATGCACAGCTTCCTATAGGAGTACAATGTATACAATTTATTTAGCAGGCATTGCCACGGTGGAAAATCACTGCAGCCCTTATACTGGCCCCTGGAACATCATGGGACAACACAGCAAGGTAAATGGCATTAAATTTCCACTGTACTTATTTGCATACTAGCATTTCCCACAGGCTGTACGAGTTATTTACAGTTATTTACTGCACAGTGGGAAATCTCTGGCTGCTCCGGTGTTTTCCACCAGCTTAAAAAGAAATGCATTTGATGTGACTTTTTTCTACTCCTACCTTGTTAATTTAGCCATTCCTCTTTCACATGCAGTCCTCATTTCCCAGCATACTGTAACACATTAAATACAGAAAACCAGTCACTTAATACTTAGTACTATCTACCCTTCAGATTTTCTGACACACGTGAAGTCTTGATTTAGAAGAAGAGGTTGCATCTTTCCATACTTTGCAAGACAGCCCTTTGGCACAGTCACATCGCTGGAAAATCTCTAGTCCATGGGAGCCTTTCTTGCGCTGCTTGGTGCACACCTCCCCCTGATGCAATACAGGCTTGCAAATTTTGGTCCAGAAATGGCGAGCACAGCAGTGTCCCTCAATACAGTCTGATGACCGCAGGCAGGGATCGCCTTCATGTCCTAAAAAGAACAATCAAACTGTTTTACCTCAGGGGAAAATGGAAAAGGACAAATTCTGAGCTGCAAATGAAGCTCAGAAAAAGGAGAGATGACATTTCAATCTGTGGCTTTTTTGAAGGACGTAAACACAAGAAAAGAGATGAATTAGGAAGGTTGGGAGGTTCAGAAAAGTAACTGTTAAGAACTGCCAGAAGACTTACTGAAGAGAAATTCAGCTACAGGTTTGTAGACAAAATGACAAATGCATAATGACATTACTCTTACAAGAGGAGGATGTGCACAATCTTGTACAACTGAAAAGTGAACTTTCATTCCCCTCTAACACAGGGAAGAAAGCAGATGCTATTTCAATCAGAGGAAAGTGGTGGTCAGTATTACCTTGCTTTTAGAATTGTGCTCTGAATTCTCTTAATAGAGATTCACAACCTCTGAAATTACTATGTATTGCTGGTGTGTGCTGCTGTATTTAAATAGCGTAATGTTACTGATAGCAGAATGGTGAAGTGCAAATGTGATCTTACCTTTAATGTGTGACAGCTTGGACTGCGCCCTCCCTAAGTTTTGCCATCCCAAATCCTTGCTAGCATAATGACTGTTCTTCTTGTTGCGTGGCCCCTCTAGTGCGGGGATGTGAGGTGTGAGGATGTTTTCAGTTACTGGTACACAAATACCTGTGAGGAAAAGTCAGTCAGTTGTAGATTTCAGCAAGAGGAGAAGAAGCCGAGGAACATACTTGGGCCAGGATCAGTATTGAGACCATTAAAGTGAGGGGGGTGTTGGGCTCAGCTTTGGTGACTTTTGGCTCTGTCACTGATCCCTAGCCTGTCTTCACTACAGCTGCACTTCACTTCCTATCACAGAGTCTTGCAGTCTGACCTCCTGGAGACTGTCTTGGAGACATCTCCTCAGGTCTCAGGAAAAGAGTATGGGAATGCAAATAGTACAATTACAACAGAAACCTCAAGAGGGAGTAACTCAGGGATTCACTGGGTCTATTTTGCTTCCTTAAGGATATGGGCTCTTTGCAGATTTCCAGAGAATTGAGCAACACGGAAAGTAGTGCTGGAAAAATGCTCTGATTTCTTTCTGTCTGTGGCTTCGTCATTTGGGGGGTTTCTCTACAACAAAAGAGGAAAAAGTCTAGTAATAAGGAGGCCTTAATCATAAAAATACTATTAAAGAAAGTGGAGAAAAGTTTTAAAGATAGATACATTAAAAACAATTAATTGCTAATGGAGTAGAGGAAATGATAACGATGACTTCAGGTATGGGTCTGTTTCAGGGAGAGGAGGAAGGCAAAAGAAGCAGGGGAGACTGAACAGCCTCTAGCATGGCACAGCTCTTGGATTCTGGCTCACAACGCACCGTCTGTTGGAGCCGATTCTCCTTTCCCTCCTTGCCTCTCCTTCCAAGCCTAGCACCATCCAGTTCTACATTAATATGAAAGCCACAAATCCAGTCACTCTAATTTCACTCTCATGTAGCTGATATTTCTACTTGGCTGGTTCGGCACCAAATTTCCCTTGTCCAACACCACAATGCATAGATAACTTTTATACAGACTGATTAGACTGCTTACTTATGCAGTTTTGAAAATAAGATCTTAGTGTTTTTTAGAAACAGAAGAAAAAGATCATTCAACAACTTTTCTAAGCCAAAGAAAAATGGGGAGGACAAGTAGAGCTTATAGAGTATGTTATTTTCAATATCTGAAGGGATTTTATCTTGGTTTAGAAAAGGAAATGCAGTCACAAGGAAAAATACCTCTGCTGAGAACACTCGGAAAATCTATTTTCAGTAGAACTGTCAAAATGCTGTTGGTTTTTTTTTTTGAGGGAAAACAAGAAATGAGTGATGTACCGTTGTTGCAGCGATTCCCCGGGCAGCACATGCCATCTCTGTGGCACCGTTTCTTCTTCCTCCGGCACAACATGCACGCAGATGATGCTTGATGAGGACTGTGACAGTACCGCCCAACTTCACATTCCTTGTCATTGGTGCAAGGATAGATCTGGAGGACAAAATAAAAAGTTTGCAGTGACACAGCATATATACTGTGTGCAGTATAAGACATGCACATAGTACATTAAAAAAAAAAAGTTGAAGAAACATAGAAACATACAGGTGAGTTACCATTCATTAAGCTAAGAGATGCAGTTATCTTTACAGCAGCCTTGTCCTTGGGCTCAAGCTGCTGGTGGAGCTGGATCACTGCCTCAAGAATGACAAAACTACAACCCATTCCTTTGGTGGTTTCATCTTTTCTTGCCTTAAATATATGCTGTCACAACAGAACTTATATTTTTGTGTGTTTCAGGATACGTGGGTCTCTCATTCATAGACAAGAGTATAAAATTCCACAATGAAGGGAAACAGAGCCAGAGTGACTCCTCTCAGTCACTGAAAGCACACTCTGCAACAGGTAACTTTTACGTTTAGATCGGAACTCCAAGGAGGCATTTTTCTTTGACGAGTGCCAGATAGGATAAGAAATTCACATTCTCACAGTGAAGATAGAATTACAAAGGTTGGTAAAGACCAACCACCAGCCCATCACCACCATGCCACTAAACCATGTCTCTCAGTGCCACATCTCCTTGTACACCTTCCAGGGACAGTGACTCCACCACCTCTCTGGGCAGCCTGTGCCAATATCTCGCCACTCTTTTGAGATGAAATTTTTCTTGATATTTAACCTGGACCTCCCTTGGCACAACTTAAAGCCATTACCAAGTTGTGCCAGCCTATGAATTTTGAGGCAATCCACATCTTCACCAGACTGGTGCAAGCTTCTTCATGATTGTACCATTCCACTCCAACCCGTACCATTCAGACTCTTTGGAAGTGAACAACCATCTCTAATCAGCATTTAGCTTTGATAGCCTTTACTTCATTTAAGTACGTACTATTCTCCTTAAGCTTACCAACTGCTGAACAACATCCCTAATATATATATCACAGACTATGGTATACAACACAAAATCTCTTGGACATATAATTGCCTGAAAGCACAGACACAGACAAACCAACATTATCCTGTAGAAAAATTGACTGATTCCTAAAAAGAAGATATGAAGGCACTGTATTCTCCCATTAGCAAGAGAAAGGTCAGTAAGTATTCCTACAAAAGAAGAAAACATAATGCTTGAAAGAGACATAACGACACCACCATTTTCCAGGATCCCTTTTGCTGAATCCCACGTAGCTTCAACTGCACTGTCTGCATCTAATTTTAATTATGAGCATAATAATGGGCATTTTAATTAATTTTAAATAAATAAATAAAAATTAACCTGCACCTAATTTTAATTAATTAATTAAATTTATTTATTTATTTAAAATTTAATGGGCATTTTAATTAATTTTAATTAATTAAATTTATTTATTTATTTAAAATTTAATGGGCATTTTAATTAATCTTAATTAATTAAATTTATTTATTTATTTATTTGAAATTTATTGGACATTTTAATTAATTTTAATTAATTAATTAATTGATTGATTGAAATTAGGTGCAGATTAAATTTTATTTATTTAAAATTAATTAAAATGCCCATTTTATAGATCTTTTTAATTAAAAATTAAAAAATTAATTGAAATTAATTAATTAATTAATTAAAAATCTTTAATTGAAATGCCCAATCATAGATCTTTTTCCATTTCTCAAAATTATCCTTGAGGAAATTTGTTTAGATAAAAAGATGAGAATGAGGCATTTTCTGGAAAATGTTTACACCTCCTCAGCTGATTTTCTCCAGCATTTTAAACAAATCAAAGTGTTGCTTTTGCTGTTTTCAAAATGACTACTGCAATTATGTATTCAACACAAACAAAAATCTCAATTTTCAATGTAGAATGATTACTTCTAAAATATTTTTTAATCAAGTCTTGATTATACTGCTCTCAGAAAAGAAAAACTTGGACGATGTTGAGAATTTGCTATGAAAAGTGTTCCTTTAGATGGAGGACAGCCTGCTTCTCCGTCTTTCTGCTATTCTCTTGAAAACTGTAGAAGAAACAAAAGGTCAGATAAAAACACTAGTGCCTTTAGCTGGGCAGAACCATGCCATTTTCCATATGATTTCATTAATTGTCTTCTTTTTCAAAATTTATTTTACAGTAACTGAAGAGCTGGCTGGTTATTTCCAGAGTGGTGCTGTTCCATTACTTCTGCCCTATGAATATATGCATCTTTGGAGAATGAATAGAGAGCACAGCTGTTTGGAGAACTTGACATATGTAAAAGGCTTTCTCCCTTAAGAGTAAGTATTTCCTCTCAAGTTCATCCTCATTCATCAAAGAAGGTCAAATCTTTTAGCTAGGAGCAGTGGTAAGAGACAAATGCAAATGCTCACCTTTGTGGTACTCAAAGTATAACTGGATTTCCCTTGTTCTAGGAAACCAGACCTAGATAAAGTGCTCTCCCTTCAACCTTATTGGTCCTTTTCCTCATTTTTCCCAGCAAGAAATAATTAATCCTAATGAATAATTACAATATAGTTGAATCAGAACCCTACTAAACTAAATAACAGAAAATTCAGAAAAATTTTGTATGAATCTGTGCATGGTTTTACTGAGTTTGGAAAATATTAACACTGCTAGCAGGGGAAAATGCAAATAAAAAACAGATGAACAAGCTGTAACCTGGAGATGAAGGCATTTTATATCCTTGTCTGTCATCAAGACCTTCATAACCACATCTTTTTTCCAATATGGGCATGTGGCATACACCTGCAACTTGTCAGCAACAAACCTACTTGCAGTTTTCTTTGGTTCCTCAAATAGCTTTTTTAAAAAAAGCTGATCCTAAATGGTGCTAATGAATATCTTGCATACCATATCTACTGTCTGTTTTACTTTTGGCTGTTAGGCTGAGTGACATTTAAATGATACACCTAATTGCTAGATCTCAACTCAATCTTTAGGAATGGTAGAAGTTACATAAGACGCTTTAAAAATTGCTGAGATAAGAGACACAACTCCTCCTCAAGTCTAACTCTCGAGCCCTGGCCTAAGCAAAGATGACATTTCTGAAATTAAAAAGTAATCCAAAACATTTACCTACCCAAGGGAAATGACTGCAGCGTACCCACAAATTGTCCTGTGTTACACGTAGCCTGGACAAAACTGTCAAGTCTATTCAAAACTCCAAACAACCAGCTGCCAGCCAGCTCCATGAAAAACCTTCTTGCAAATTGCTTGATGCCATCAATTGCCTTGATTTTTCTTCCAAAACCACCATCTATTTGATATCCTAGTTATCAGTCACGGGGAGCTTTAAATAAAAATGCCTACACAGCCTTGTCTCCTAATCAGTAGACATTCATTAGAAATAACTCATGCCTTCTGCGATACAATTAATCTATCTCCACAGTATTCACTGAAATACAAAAAACAAAATATAGTACCTAGTCTTGGCTAACAGCAGGGAAAACATGTTCATATTTGTCTCATTGTCAGTAGTAGTTGAGCATCTTTGTATAAATAAGTATATATATTTTAAAATACAGGAATAAGAAAGTATATTTGTAGAAAAGCATATACTAACAGTTGTTCATGGACAACTCAAGGTTTTCAGAGTTTCCTACCTCAGAGCCTAAAACACAGTCTTTACATTGAGAGAATAGCAGAGAACATTTCCTATACGCAATGCAAAGACCCAAATCAGTCCCAGATGGAGAGGGAAAAAGCAAGCTGTAAACCAGCTCTACTTCCCCAGCAATGATAACTAATTCTACAAGGCACTTCATCCTTTCACATTCTTCAGCTATACATATCATTTTCGGGTCGTAAATCTCTATTCACTAAACATGGCTTTGATATTATGGGAAACCAGATGAAACTGAGATAAAATATGCAGCACTCCCTGAAGCTGCATTTAAGCAATCTTATTTATTTTTTTAGCCCAGATTACAGGCAGTCATGTTGTTGTAGCATGGTATAACCTACATTTGCCAGTGATATTCATATTTTCAGATTGTTTACTCTGATGAAGAGCATTGAAGAAGTAAGACGCTTTCTCCTCAGTCATTCCAATTAGTTTTGTATTCTTCTATAGAAGACAGATACTGAAATGGTGCTGCTCTTTCTGAGCCAAGATGTCCACTCTACATCTATTGACCAAAGCTAACCTTTGCCAGCTAGGTTTAAGCAGCACATAAACATAAATCTTTTCTCTTTAACAAAGAGGGAATATGAAACTCCATTCCTGTCCTTCCTGAATTTACACTCTAAAGCGCAAAAGCACACTATAGAACTATAGAAAATGATGCAGATAATAGAAAGAAAAAACTGTTTTGTTTTGTTTTTTCCAATCCTTCCAGGACTATGACTAAGGCACTTATTTTTTGCATTAAATTCACAGTGAGGTTGAGGAAAGGAGTGACTGTCTAGCTTTCATATCCACCTAATGCCATTCCTTTCTTTTGCAGTGTACAGAAGTGAGGTTTATTTTTACCTTTGCCTTCTCCTTTTGCCAGAGATCTAATATAGCACCTTTTCTCAGCTAACTGGCAATGAGGCTTTCTTGATAGTTTTCTTGGAGTCATTTACTCTCTTGCAATGTGGTCACCCTGAACCACAGAGTTTCACCACAAGCTCAAATAGCACGAGTGCTGGAACCATTGTGCTGTGGAGTCAATCAGCCCCAGTCTCACTGTCTGGCACTACAAAACATAATGCAGAAGCACAAGGGAGGAAGATAGATGCTGTAATGTGCTGAAGGGTGAGTGAATAGTCTGATGGCAAGCACTTTACTGAGCTGTGGGAGATAAGGGTTTGAATTTCAGCTTGGCCTCCAGTATATATCTGAAAACAGTATTCCCAGCCAGCGCCTTAGTCACCAGGCTCTCATTTGCTCGTATTATGAGATCTCATTTGTTTTCATGCTAAAGCTACTCCACACTGTACTATCAAGATATGTCAGAAGAAAACAGGAAGAGCAACTGGCATTTTCACCTAAGCTGTGTCATCACTTATCCAGCACAAGTAGTCCTAAACACTGCTGGCTTC